TAGTTATCCAACCAGGAGGTTATCAGAGCATGAATCACTGTTGCTAGGCAGTGCTCGTCCAGGTAAGGACATACCTGACGGACCAGCCGAAGCTGTAGGAAAGCACTCCTTGCCACCGCCGCCACCTGGGATTCCAGTGACAGCTATGGGTCAAGGAGCACTCCCAAGCTGTGGACCCTGTCCTTTAGAGGGAGTGCTACCCCATCCAGGACAAGGTCAAAATCACTTACCTGAAACTTCAATCCACCCACCAACAGGACTTCCATCTTATCTGGATTGAGGCTCAGTTTATTGGCCCTCATTCATCCCATTACCTTGGCCAGGCACTGGTTCAGTACCAGTTCACCTGGAGTAAATGAGAGGCAGAGCTGAGTGTCATCAGCACAGTGGTGACTCCGCAGCCCAAACCTCCTGATGACCTCTCCCAGCAGTTTCATGCAGATGTTGAAGAGCATGGGGAACAAGATGGCAAAGCTGCCATGGCGCAGAGCTATAGTCCCCCAGCATCCCAGATTTGTGTGCTACCTCTCCAAAGTTGCATGAACTTGAGGCTTCAACAAGCTACCTTGCAATTGAGACTGAAAAGATTAAGCATTACGGTTCATCTTGAAGGGTCAGCAAGGTGGTTTCATTTTCTTCCACCTCTTGCTTTTCTCTTTCTTGATCCAATTGAAGTAAAATACAGAAATAGATGCACATCTACTTGGGAGTCCAGATGTCAATTTTATAGCAGCTGTTCTGCCACTGCTGCAAACAAATGAACTGAAAGAGCCTCCGGCACAGAGTTTACAGACACAGATAATCATTCCAGAGTAATTACCAGCTTGCTCCCCCAGAGGATTTCACCTGCAGACACTGGGAGCTAATTACTCCCAATTACTCCCTTGACGCATGCAGCCTTGGAGACTAGAGCAAGCAGCACTCTCAGTAATAGTTCAAGTCAACCTTCCCCCCAGCACTGAAAGATGCTCCTTCCCCTGGAAAGCTAGGCCTCTGCCCATCTGCTGGGTGCTGCTCCACAGCCTTCCACCCACCCACATTAAGCGCAGCCACGAGCAATGCCGGCTTCACTTCATGTAGCCCCAAATTTTAGGTCACACTCCAGCTCTTCTCCTCTCTATACTGAGGATAAGACAACCGGCACTGTATTTGTCTTAGTTTAACCTAGTTAGCTAATTGAACTCCAAAGACAACATATTAAGCATTCATCTAGATGCCAGCAAGAACTGGAAACAAATATTGCACTCCGAGGGAGAAAGGGATCACATACACCAATGCCAGGAGAGCAGGGAAAGATGAGAGGAAAATAAACCAGGCAAAGTGTGGTATGAAAGCAACACAATAGTGCTTTCTGTTTCCCCACCTCACCATTTTCACAGGTGGGTCTTTATGACTATGAGTGTTTACCTACAGCATGCAAGAATGCTATTTCTCTAACATACTCAAGACCAGTGCTCTATCTTGGACATCCTTTCCTAAAAGCATGGGGTATCTAATGTATTTTAAATGGATGTTTGCTTCTGCAACAGGACTTAATCTTCTCCTCCCCCTGTACTCCAACTCTGCTCCAGATGGTCCCCCAACCATCCTGAACAGATTTGAGAGAGAGCAGCGGGGGATGCAGGGGAGATGGGGAACACCCCCCCACACTTCTGCTAAAAGAAGCAGTTTGCCACTGCAGGAGGACTTCACTGAATTCCACACATAATGCCCAATAAGATTCTTAACATCTTAAAAATAGAATGTGTTCTTAAGATTCTAGCCCTCATGGTTGTAGGAATGAGCCTGAGAACAAGAAAGCTGTGTGTTTCAGGAGACTGTACTCCCACCAAGTATTTTAAATGGCATTCTATTGGAAAGGCCATAGCTTCGTGGCAGATCATGTGCTTTGTCCCAGGATAAATCCCTGCCATTTCCAGAAAGGATTAGGAATGAATCCTGCTCAACTCCACAGAGTCACGGCTACTCTGTGCTGACAGTCCCGGCCTAGATGGACCATGACCTGGTTTAGTGCAGGTTGGGTGTCTGTATTCCTACTCACAGATGCAAGGTTCAGTCCTAATCCTGAGAGAATGCATTTGGACTTTTGCAGCTCGCAGTCCCAACTTGCAGAGACTTGCAGCACAATCCTATGCAAGTTTCTGAGAGGTATAATCCCTTGTCTTCAACAGAGCTTGTTCCTTAGTAAGTGTGGCCAGACCCACAAATGTCATGCTGCTCATGGTGTCATCCGATCCTTTACCCCAACAAGGCTCTGCATCACTTAGGCATCATGAAAAACCTACCCACCATAACCACCCTAGAGAGTAGACCAGCAGGGAAGCAGAAAAGCCCAATCCTCTGGCATGTTCCATTCTTTCGTCCCCTGCCTGAGCTGTTCTGCAACATTCTGGCAAGGCTAGAATATTGCATAAGACTGAAAAAGTAATGCAGTCAGAGTAAAAAGGGACAAAAAAGGACCAAGCCATTGGAAACAGCGGGAAGTCAAACACTGTCAGACTAGACATGATAAGACTACACCAAATCAGAATCTGTCATGTCTGAACAGCCCCAACAGAGCAGCACACAGGTTCCATGATAAAAGTGTGCCATGCTCAAAGATGCCAAGGCTTAAGGAACAGACTGTAACATTTTCTTGTAAGTTTCTCCTTGTCTCACCATAAAATAACTACATCAATGATGCAATCCATTTAAATACAACAGGATGATTCCTATTTGGAGTGTAATTAATTCACCAGAGTTTAAGTAAATGGAAAGGACTCTGCAAGGTTTGATGACCCCACCACTGATCCCAGTAGCCAAGGAAGCAAACTCATTCACAGTGTGTATAAATCAAACATCTTTTTTTAAAGGGCCATTTTAATAGATTTATCCAGTACATTTTCCCTTTTAGCTGCTGCCCAACTTCATGCAGATGGTGTTTGAGTGCCAGAAGTAGTTTCAGTTTGAAATATACATGCTCTAACATCCATCAAGAGACTGGCAATCAAGATCTTATTCCCATCATGATTTATAACATAGTTCTATGTATTCTAGACTTGCAGAAATGCCTTGCACAACTGCAGAAGCTGGTAGAAAAATCCAGTATTGTGTGTAGGGGAGAATTTGGCTTTTAACTAGCAAGTCACTAGTCCTAATGGTTTCAAAGAGAAAGCCAGGGCAATGTCTAGTCAACCTTCCCCAACCTGATGTTCCACAGATGTTTTTGACTTCAACTCCCATCAGCCTCAGCCAGCATGGCCAATTGTCATGAATTATTGCAGTCCACAGGCACCATGCTGGGAAAGGCTGATCTAGTGAAATCCCAGAGGCTTCCAGTGGTCAGGGGATGGGGCTTAAACCTGCTTCTCCCACGGCTAGCAAAAGCAGAATAAGCCATGTACTTGGATTGATAGATAAAGATCGATAGGACAAAATTATGGAAATTTGCTTAAATTCTACCATCATTTTGAATGTTTACAGAACTAGACTGCAATCTTTGGCACACTTACCAGGAAATAGAAATATAGAAAGTCAGAAGGGGTCTCCTGGGCCATCTAGTCTGACCCCCAGCTCCAGCCAGCTCCGCTTAAGACATGCCTGCCATGTGCATGTCCAGCCTATTCTTGAACACCCTCACCAATGGGACTTCAACCATCTCCTGTGGAAACCCATTCCATACCCAGAAATAAAGCCCATCACTCTACAGAATGCAAATGCAGAATGCTGGCCTCAGTCCAATAAACCACATAAAATCCTATGTACGCTTAATACAGTTTCATGGTAAATTCCAGCTGCAGATCCAGATGTAGCACTAGTCTGTAGAATGCTGCAAATACAGCAGCAGGGGCTGCACTTGGCTGCAAATCCTTTTACACCTTTAATACCATGTAACATCACACAGACCCATCTCTGCTGCCCCCTCCAAACCCCTGGCTCGTCCTACACACTTTATGACTGTCTGGTTTTCTGTACTAGAAAGAGAGTTCAGTGGGGCAGACACAGCAGCAGGGGAGGCTGACCCAGGATCAAACAGGTCTCTGTGATGCATATAAGCAGCAGCTTCTTGTGGTCTTGGCTACGAATTGTAGCATGGAAAAAATCCTGGCACAGACGCGCAAGGAAGTGTCCTGTTCAGCTAGGAAGACCCCTAGGCTTACTATGGGAATTGCATATGACATAGTGGACCATACAGGGAAAACAGAAGGGACCAGTGCAGGCCTGGACAGTAGAGATGAGGAATGCTTAAAACAGAGTTCCTGGCACAGCAGTTGCAGCCACCTAGACATTTCCAGAGGCAGGCATGGCTTGAGACACAGAGTATCCATTTTTTATTTTCTAGAGGAACAGAAAATAGGCAGGAGTGGAATGACTAAGGCAGAGAACACTGTACCTAAAAGCCAATTACAAGCATTTTCCAGTCCTACAATACAAGGGCGCCACCTACTGGGTCTGAACCTATTCTTTTATCAACTTATCTCTTGATACAAAAACTAGAAGTATCCTTACAGCTAGTAACTCAGGGTAAAAGGAAACCCAGTCCAACTCTCCTTCTTTTGTAGATAAGCGCTTATTGTTGCTTATCTTGCTGATGCCAGAGTGTTGGACATGGAATAATCAGTTCAAGTTGTGACAACCCAGATTCAGGCTGGACATCAGGAAAAGCTTCCTCACTGTCAGCGCAGTACAACAGTGGAACCAGCTGTCTACAGAGATGGTGAGCTCTCCCACACTGGAGACATTCAAAAAGAAATTGGACAGTCATCTGAGTGGGATGGTAAATTGGTGTCCTGCAACAGCAGGGGGTTGGCCCCGAAGGGCTTCATGGCCCCTTCCAACTCTACTATCCTATGATTCCATGATTCTGTGATGTCTATTTGAATGAAATGAGTAACAATCAACTCCCACCTGGCCAATGGTCAGAAATACTTGGAGTTGATGTCCAAAGAACTGGACAATAGTAGACTGGAGAAAGTTATTACCAAGTGATGTTACGCAAGAATATGCAGTGCATTTCTCACCTGGAAAGAAGACAGGAAGGAAGGTGGGCCAGTACCGTATGTTCAGAAGTACCATTTCTAGCGGATCGCTGGTGACAGTGAAGAGGAGCTTTGTGGGTGATTCAGGCTGCCATCTCAGGGTGCATAGCACTATTTCTGGGGTATGCATTTCTATTTATCAGCAAGGTATTCTAAACACTGCATACAAATGACATGCAATAAAAAGTTGAGAACTGTAATTTTTATTGATGAATTTTGCATCAAGCTTTCCCACCTTCCTCTTCACAAGTCTTGCCCAACTTGCCAGATGTGTTTGCCTCTAGCTCCAAACATCTGTGGGCAGCTTGTTAAGATAGAAACTGAAGTCTAGCACATCTGGGCAGCACCAGGCCCGGAAAGGCTGGTGTGGGTACACCATGGACTGCAAGGCACCAAAGAGGCACACCTGTCTTGCCTTCTGAAGCTGAGCTGGTCCTGGGTTGGCTTCATTAGCTTCAAGCTGGCTCAAAAAGTAGGCAAACGTGACTCGACCTGGCTCCAGCTGCCCACCAGGATGCACTGCCCAGCTGTCCCAACACCTTCCAGAAAGTTTTCCCACACATTTTCCAAAGGGGATAGTGAAGCAGCTTTCTCTGTCCCCTGAACTTCTCCCCTGGCTGGACATTAGAGCCCTGCCTGCTCTCCAAGACTAAGGACTTACTCCCCTCTCCCCCACTCCACCCCTTTCATAATACGGTCTGGGACACTTTGATTTCTTATCTTGTGGATTTTAATGAGGGTCTCTTGCAAGTAACATTGTTTTAACATAGAGATCTTGCAGATGCATCTTAAATGCACTGTTCATACATTACACCGAGAAGGTGACCTGGTAGAGCTAACAGTCTACTTGGTGAAGAAGATGAGTGCACCCTGCATCCAGTTCATAGAACCAAAGACCCCAGTTCACAATCACATTAAAAAAAGAAAGAAACATTTCAAAGTCAGTCAAAAATACGGAAGCATTTCAGAAACATAAAGAAGTACCCTCATGACCCCTTCCCCTTCCCCTACCACCACCACCACCACCACCTGTTTACTGGTCTACTCACTAAAAAAAAGAGGAAATCTTATCTTTTGTTATGGCCAGCAAGGTGGCCCAGCACAAAAGCAATGCATCACCCCCAATATCCTGTCCACCATTCTCCACACCTCCAGGGACTGAGGCTATGCAGAGTTGGTGTCCAAGTCCAGATCTAAGAACATGGCCGTAACAAGACAAAGACACCCTTTCCCACCTAAGAAATGTGCTCATGGCGTTTGCCAGTCCTCGGATGCGACGACAGCCACTTCCAGTAGCAGACTGAAGGAGGGCTTGGTGAGCCTAGGCATCCACCAGGGTTAGCCCTTCGTGCAGAGCACGCTTCCACATGTAGTATGTGGAGCGCGCTGTCAGAGGGAAATGAGCCCTGAACTCTTTGTATGTTGGGAAGGTCTTGGACTCAAACCGTTGCTGGAGAAACAGCTTGGCCTGGGCTTTGAACTGAGCTGTGGCGATCACGTCCATCACAAACATGCTGCTGTTGTTGACTCTTTCTGCCATTGAGTAGCCTGGTATCATAGCAGTGAAAGGTTTAGGCACTTGTCTGTCCATCGGTGCTGCAACGGTCGTCTCCTTTGGCTGTGGGGAATGGAAGTCAAGCCCTGTCTTTGCACTAGACTCAGCTGTAAGTCTCCTCTGCAAATCTTTGGAAACCCCATTTGAAGAAAGGCACTGCTTCTTGGTCTGGCTGCTGCTTCTTTTCCTCCAGAACCAATAGGCTGTGGAAGAGATGCTTGGATAGCGCAGGCGGAATTTGCAGAAGGGCATTTTCCAGAGGCGGACTCGCTTCTTGGCTAAGTCACGCAGCTGCTTTTGCCAGTGGCACAAAGATGGTTTGATGCGCATGAGAATCCGAGGTTCACTGAGCACCTTTCGGCTAGGCAGCCTGCCTGCCTTGAATGGAAGATGCAGCTGCCTGTTCAAAAGGGGTTTCTCACTGATGGAAAGCGGCAAGGAAGGCTGGAAGTTGGGGTTCCCCTTGATGGCTTTTCTCCTCCAGTTGTAATAAGTGGATCTGGAAATGCCAGGAAAACTATGCTTGAAGCTTCTGTAGGGCACAAGAGTATTCATGGAAATGCACTTCTCCAGATAAGACTTGGCTCCTTGCATGGAGGTCCCATTTTGGCTGGGATTCAGGAGAGGGCTTCTGGGCCCCGGGACTCCCTCACACTTGCCTCCACCATCTCTGCCAGCAAGAAGCTCCTCTGGTTTGTATGCCGGAGGATCCTTTGGCAACCCAGTTTCAGCAGGGGAAGAGGCCTCGCCACCATTTATCACATTTTGCATCTCATGCTTCCAGGCATAATAAGTGGAGCGCGAGATTTCCGGGAACATCTGGCGGAAGTGCTGAAGAGGGATGATGTTGCCCTCTTGGAAGCGGGACTGCAGGAAGTGCTTGGCTGCAAACCTGGTTGCTGCTTTCTGCCTGTGCTCTCGGGACTGGCGCTTCCATCGATAGAAGGTACTTTTTGTGATGCTGTATCTTTCACGCAGGTTAGAGTATGTCACCTGCGGATCCTTGTTCAGCAGCTCCAGAGTCTTCACCGGCTGCACTTGAGGCTCCGGAGGGGGGTTCGCGGGTTCCAGCTCTTCCAGGCCAACAACAGGCACAAAGGACTGAGCTTTGAACACCTGAGAGGACAGCTGCTGCCCAGACCACATGATGTGGAGTGTGGAGACTTGCAAGTTGCCCCTCCTGGGTCGGATCAGTCGGTTGAAGTATGGCCGGATCTTTAGGTTGCTCATCGGGTAGATGGAATAGATGTTGCACTGCAGCACTGATGCCAGGGCATACACGTGCCACATGTTGGCATACGTGCCCGGGAAGCAAGTGGCTTTGATGTCAGCATCGAAAATGGCCTCCAGGATGGCCAGAGGCAAGCTTGTCATCTCTGGAGATTCCTCAGTGCACATCGAGTAGCGGGCAGCCTGCAGCATCACCTTGGAGTCAATCATGCCATTCAGGTAGTACTGCTTGTGCAGCAACATTTCCACTGCGGTGCGCACCTGCAGCTCCAGACTCAAGCTGGTGCCCCCCCACAGCAGCATACTGGCAGCCTCAAACAGGTGGTTCCCTTCTCCTTTGCAAACCAAGGGCAGCATATGGCTGGGAGCATCTTCAGGATACAGATTCAGTGCCACCCGGTCAACTTCCAGCTCTTCCTGGAATTGCCTCCCAGTGTAGCTGGGTAAGGAGAAAGATGACAACGTGCGCTCAGCCTCCAGGGCTGCACTTGTCAGTCCCTCGAGCCCAAAGCATTCAGTAGCCTCCTGCAGCTCCTGGAGCACGGACTGCACCAGCTGGTGTCGCTGGATCATCCTGAAACACAGAAGAGTTCAAACAATGAGAATGTCACACATTTCGCACCGTCCCCCTCGTCAACACAGCCCGCCTGCTGATCAGAGCAACACAGTGCGGCTGCTTTCTCTCGGCAAGCATCTGCATTCACAAACAACACCTACAACCCTAATCCGCAGGCCACTCCTGATCTGAGACGGAAGATTCCTGCTAGAGGGATGATTTCATGAGAGACAGATGCCCAGCAACTGAATACTATGCATGTTTCTTCACAAGCCCTACTGAATTCAGTGGAGCTTGCTCCCAAATGGGTGTACGGATGCAATCTGCACAGGAGTAAGGATGTGTAGGATCTTTGTTTTGTTAAAAACAATGGGATTTAAGCATGTTTAATTGGGCAGGAAACAATCTTATAGAATCAAATCCTAACTATTTCATGGGTATGTTATCCCATCCTTCAGTTGGTAACACATACCACGTTTGCACCAAGTAATGCATCAAATGACTCACCTGAACCTGTCCATCCAATACGCAAGCAGATCTCATATTTGTTTATATCATTTTTATGCTGCTTTTTAGGGGCAGATATTTGATTTATGAACATTTTATCCAACTGTGGAAGCTGCTTTACACCACCTTTAAACCCTTTTCTCTTCGCAAGTGTTTGCCTTAAAGGAAATATCAATTTCTTTCTGGAGCACTGTTCTGCCTCCATTGTTCTCATCCCTTTCTCCCAGCCCCTACACTAAAACAATCTATCATGCTATTCTGCTTTTTGCTGAACGTTTCTGCTTGTTATATAGCAACTCAGGAAGGTGCTTCATTAATGTTTGCATTTTACAAATCAGGAAAGAAAACCAAGTGATACTGACTTGATCATGGCCAAAGAATGAGTTCCATGATCCAAGTGTGACCTCAGCTCCCTGGATCACAAACCTTGAATTTCCTTGCCTGATGAAAAGCTAATGAACAGTAAAATGAATCCAACTCAGGTAGAAAATACATTGACAGACTAGCTCAAACTCAGCATGCTTAAAATATCACACTGATGCAAAAAAAAAAAAAAAAATCAAATCTTAAATCTTTACTGTGAATTTTAACTATGTGAGTATATACCTGGTCTGCAACCCTCACCTGGAAGCAAGAAGTAGGGCCTGCAACACGATGTTGCAGTGCATCTATCCTTCCTAAAAGAAGAACTTCTCTACAATGTTCTAACTAGTCATTCCTCTCCCGGACACCACACATTCCAGTTCTCCCCAGCACAGACTTTGTGGCTCCTACCCTCATTTGCTCTATTTTGAGTTTGGCCCCCTCAGGATTTCTTTCTTTCTTGCTCTTCTGCAGACCTCAGTATTCCCACAAGCATGCTAATGCTTCGCTCTTCTTTCCCAGGGGCTCTATTTTTGGCCACAATCCTGGCAGCATTCACCACTTGAATTTGATATTAGAAGCATTAAAAATCCCTAAAATCTAGTTAATTCTAATCAGTGCTTTTTTTTTTTTTTTTTTTGGTCATAGAACACACCGGAATGGAGTTCCAGCACCGTTTTTCTACAGATTTTCCAAGTTTTAAAAGTAACTTTTGAAAATTTGATGTTTGGTCCATGTGGATTTGAGTCACCCTGTCGTGCGTAGCAGGTCGGTGGCAAAATCATTAAAATGGTGCATGCGGGCTGCTTGTGTGTCAAATCCGATGCATGCGTACTTCATCCACGCTGGTTGTGATGGCACTGCTCGGCTTGTGGTGCTGCTTGGCTTGTGATTGGTCATGTGGTTGCGCACTGAGTGCTTACTGAGGGTGGCAACCATTATGTTTCGTTACACAACTGACGTGTGCATGTGTGTACAGTGATTGACTACATGTGTAAGGTAAATAATTTCATGAGTTCTGGCACCTTTTTTCTTACAAAAAAAGCACTGATTCGAATACCACAGAAAGAGAGTCAGTATTATATAGATTTTGTTTCTGAATCCAACAGACTTTTGATCTAAGAAGCAACCTGGGCCATTTCACCGAGTCAAAAGGCATATCAGATCTTAAGAGAGCTTTTCTGCTTGAATCTGATATTTTTCTAACAGGATGCTTAGGGCAGTCAAAACAGGGAGGCAGAACAGAGCTGGCTCCTATGTAGCTTCCGTTGTTTGATCAATACCATTTCTTAAATGGAGCTGCTCCCTCTCAACAGTACAGCACAGAAAGTCTGTGAACAACTTCTGTCACATATCTGGCTAAGGCGAACATCAGCAAGAGGTTAGTTCAGAACTCAAGTCTGAAACCATGTTTGCACTGGTGTCCTTCCTGGTAAACACTGCAATGTCACTGCTTCTCTTAGGCAGGCCAAATGGTGGGAATTCAGGTCCTTATAGAAGGAAGAGTGAAGGAATGTGCATTAGCATGGATTGAGTATGATGGAAGGCAGCCATGGGCTTGTCTAAGGATGGAGCAGACCAAATGACAAGAAACAAGTACAAACTGCCAGCCCCGCCCCAATAAAAATGGTATCTTTGGCTACTTGTGAGAGAGAGAATGTTTCCTACAACCTACATATCTTTCCCCATATTCAGATTCTGCCTTCACATTATGAGATTTAGTCATACATTTCTAGCCTCCATAACATCTGCCACCCTATTCTGTTCAAAATGCTTTTCTGCTACTTGCTTTCCTTTAAAACTGATAATCTAATCTTGCTATCCCATCATCTTTTTTAATTCTTTCATAGCCTTGCCTCTCACACGAATCAGCCCATGTGCAGGTTTTATTTTTATGCCATATACTATGTGCAAATCAATCTTTAGCTGGGCCTCACACATTTTCAAGTAACTTAATCTCTCACTGCACCTTAAAAAATGCTTAACTATTAAAAAAAAATCCAAGACTTACTTTAAGAGACAATCTCAGCATTTACCAATAAATATTTTCCTGACGGTTCACAAACCATAAGATTGCTTGTTTCCATTCTGCTATTTTTCACCCTTCTAGACCTACCACCCACAACAGAAAATGCAGAAGAAAAAAAGATTTGCTAGAAGCTTCTATTCCTTTTGTTGAAAATAAAAATTATAAAAAACCAGGGCTTAGTGCAAGACAGAAACTTCCTCCCTTTATGTTTACCAGGAGGAACCTTGCATTCAAATGGTAAAATTAAAGTTCCTTAAATATGCTTTAGTAAAAATATTAGTGAGGGCTTGCTCTGGAACAAGAGTTCTGGCATGTGAAGATAAGCTCTAGGATTTAGGATAAGAGGCATAGGGGAGCCTAGTATGCTTTCTTGAATTCAATCCATCATACCAGTGATGTGTTCTTAGGGTTATATTAATTCAGTAATAGACATGAGGTAAGACCACCACCTCCAATATTGTCCAGCTCAGTTGAATTTGTACCAATCTTTCTAATAACCATTCTTTTCCAGTACAGCTGAAGTTACTCATAATACTAGCACCAGTGGTTAGTCCATTAAGCTGAATGGTGGGAGATCTGGGAGAGATAAAATGAAATACTTCTTCATATGGCGCATCATTAAATGATGGAACCTGGATAGTTTTAACAGTGAGGGGTGACAAATTTGGGAGGATAAGGCTGTCAATGGCTACAAGTTATGAGGGCAATTTATCACTTTCAATAGCAGAGGCTGAATGCAAGTAGGAGAGGTGCTATTACACCCCTCTTATTCGTGGGCTTCCCCCAGGTAGCCACTCTGCTAACAGGATGCTGACATCTTTGGTTTGTTCAACAGGATGCCTCTTATGGTTTCCATGCATGCACACTTCGACAGCAGTTTACAGCTTCTCTGCCCTTCTGCAATCACTTGGATATTATATGGAATGTGCTCCCCAGAGAGGTCCGCCTGGCGCCGTCGTTATTTGTTTTTCGGCGCCAGGTGAAGACCTTTTTATTTAAACGTCATTTTAATTGTTAACAATATTTACTTATTTATCTGGCCAGGGCGACTTCTTTTCTTTTCTTTTATAACTTTTCTTTTATAACTTCTTTTATATCGTTTATATTTTTTATTTATTTTATATTATTAATTTTAATTTTATATTGTTATTTTTATATTGTATTGTATTTTATTGTGTTGTAAGCTGCCCCGAGGCTTCGGCAAGGGGCAGCATAGAAATGTTCTAATAATAATAATAATAATAATAATAATAATAATATTAACTAAAACACTGGCACAGAACAGCCCAAGCACCTGAACCTCCATCTCAAGTTTATTATGCTTCTCACTATCAGAAAAGCTAGATGAAGAGTGCAGGAAGCATGGTCCAGCAACACCTGCTAACTGCCCCATGAAGCTCGCGCATCTCTGCATTAAAACACCAGTCCAAAACTCACCAGTTCTACACCAACAAATAAAACAGATTCCTGTAGTAGACATGCCTGCCAAAGGAAAAATTCTCTTTACTTAGAAAAAATAATGTTTGACCTGTGTGGGTATTGTTATAATCAGTATTACAAGTGGCATGCTGATCAACCAATCAGTCATATATTGCCAACTGAGACCTATTATTATTTGAGTGCAAATAATAGCCAAAAAATGCTATGGACCCACAAATGCTTAAACTTTTGGCCTGCTGGCAACTGCCTTAATTTTATTTTGTTTCTAAGTAATTTTCAGAAGGACAGTCCTCTGACAGACTGTTGCAGCAGAAACAAAAGGACTTGTGGTATCTTGAATGCCTAAAATTTGAAAGTTTATGCCCTAATACATGTATTATTTTTATAAAATCCTGAGGTACCTGTAATTTCTCAACAGCTGCTGTTCCTTGGCTTAAATAAATGTGTAACTGCAGGCCAACATTGGCATTCCAGGATAAAAGCCAAAGAGAACTACTGAGTGAATCATTCACATTTATATAAAACACACTGTTAAAAGCTGTAAGCAGAAAATTACACCTTAAAACAATTTAAACAACAGAAAATAAATTACCATACATTCAAACCTTTTGATAGTTAAAGTTGCTTGGCCCATCAACTGACCCCATTTTTTTTTTTTTTTTGTCAAAGCTTCCAAACC